TATTTTTGACAAGACCTTCAAGGCACTTAAAAACTACACTTAACAAACATATAGGTCTATTGTTAGTAATGATAGAGGAATCCAAAATTTTTTTTGGAACAGCTACTATTTTAATTTTTTGCCATATATCGGGTATTTGGCCTCCGTTAAAAATATCATTCAACATGGAAACAAAATTTTGAATTTGTTCGGGAGGTAAAGATAGAAGCATACTACTATAAGAAATATTATCGAATCCCTTCAAAGAATTTGGGTTACGAGTCTTGAGAAAGTCTAAGACTTCATTAGGAGAAAAGTATTTTTTGTTTATGGATCCAAGTTCAAAATTAGGGAAATTATAATTTATACAGCCTGGGGTATCAGGAGCTATTGCAATTTGCTGAACAATAATTTGATGATCCTGGTCGTCAAAAAGTTTAGGTGTGGGTTTAGTTTGTTTGTAATATTTTAAGGGTTTGATTTTTTCCCATAACTCTTTTGGAGACTGGTGGTTCGATGAGTCAGCTAGAGTATTCATGTTTTCTTTACGAACTTTATAAAAATAATTGTTTAGTTTTTTATTTGACTCTAGATACAATACTGCATCGGATGTCAATTTGATTTTATAATATTTTTGTCTGCATGCATTCCTAAATCTAAAAAGCCTTTCACAAGTATTATCCCAGTACTTTTTTGGAACATATTTATTATTTTGCTTGAAATTTATAGTGTTTTTTTTTATTATGTCCTTAGCTGCGCTACATAAACTGTCAAGAGAGCTAATATTAATTTTGGAAAAATCTTTTGATAACTTTTTCCGTTGGGTTTTATGTAAGGTGATAGTGGAAGGAACATTTAATAACTCAATTATTATTGGAAAATGGTTACTGTTGGAGATTTTAGAGTTTGCAGTAGTCCAAATAGGAGAAAGGGAATTTTTATTAACAAACGAAACGTCAGGGACTGAACTGGAAGCAGGGTTAGTGGAATAGGTGTGAGAACCATCGTTAATACAAAAAAAAACCTGTGGATAGAAGTACTTCCTCCACTGCCATACCTTTGTTGTCCTGAATGAGGCTGCCCCATATGGACGATTTGGCATTAATATCGCCCCCACTAAGGAGGGACCATTTAGTTTAGCAGCTATGCACATAGTTTCCTTGAGCCCTGCTTTAAAATCATTTATGCTCAAATTAGGTGGGGCATAGACGCTGAATATGTTAAAGTTGTGCCAAAGGTTTTTAGTTGATATACCGATAGATTCGATTTTTGAGTTAAGACTTAGGATTTTAATATTAAGATTGTTTTTCACGTAAATCATTACCATCCTCCCGAGGTTTGCAAATGAAATTATAGTTTGCTAGACTACACATGGCATTATCTACTACCCAAATTTCAGAAAGAATGGCAATATCAATATTGTTATTAATAAGAAAAAGTTCCAACAACTGTTTGTTATTTTGGGAAGTTAAGCTTTCAATATTATTTTGATGTATTTTTATAGGCTTAATCATGATGAAAGATTAAAAAATTTCATTTTTTTCATATCGATTTCAGAGTTGGCTTTGGCTATAATATCCCTTAAGGATTCGAGAAAAGATCTGGTATTACCTGAGTGGTTCGGATTGTTTATTAAAAGGAAGGAGGCAATCTCCGAAGAAATGTTGATTAGACTGTTCTCAGCTGTTTCCAAGGCTGAGTTGTGATAAAGAACTGGCTGAAGGTGGGAAAAAGCTAGAATCAGCCAGATTCATCAGCTAATTTAGTGTTATCCTGCTAAACCGGGGTTGCAGAATTTTTAGGGGCTTGTAGTAGAGGGAATTCTGTGGTATTAAAAATCTCCAGAGTGGATGGAGCTACTTTATCAAAAAGAGCAGGATATCTTATTCTAACTTCCACTCTAGATAGGTTTTGCGATGTCATACATTTTTGTATGGCAAACGCTCTTTTCCTTGCCGGACATTCAAGGAAGGTAGCGGTGTGGGAGAAGTGGCAGTTTATACATTTAAGTGTCGTACATGTCTCTTTTCTTGGATGAGAAAGGGAACAATTGCGACACTTCTCTTCAGACTGCTTACAGTGCTGAGCAAAATGCCCAAATCTGAAGCACCTTAAACATTGGCTAAAAGGAACATAAGGTTCCACTTTGACCTTTGTATAAAGGAAGTCAATTTCCTCTGAAATCTGGGAGCCTTTAAAAATATTCTTAACCCTGGACGTGGGAACAAATTCTTTGTTTTCATTTTTTCTATTAACTCTAATGATTTCGTGAATGGGCACTGGGGATGAAATAAATTCTTTTAAATCGTCAGTAGTAAATTTTATTGGAATTTAAAAAATAATACCAGTCTTAAAAAATAAATGCTTAAGAATTTTGGGGTCGTAGCCCTCTTTTTTTAGATCAGAATTTAATAAATCATTATCTGCTTTAGCTGTCTTGCACTCTGCCTTACAACGCCCGTAGCCTATTTTATTTTAATATATCTTTAAGTTTAAGCTTAAAAATAGTTGCATTTAGTTCGAGGGCATTAATAGGTTCACGGTTCTCTCTAGTACTGTCACCGTTAGTGAGTTTGTCAATATAAACAAAATAAGGACCTTTGTGATTGCTTTTATAGCTAAGCGGTACTTGCTGTGGTTTGGAGGGATCGCCGTTGTCATTGTCGTTGATGTTGATGACATTTGTATCCTGCTTGTTGATCAAAGTCTGCCGTAAAACATTAGCGTTGCATTCTTCTGACTCCAAGATGTCCATTTAAGTGTCGATGTGAATCCGATGTTTTCCTTTTTTGAAAATTAGCCGCATCAGAGCACAGGGTCCTTGCCCTGGCTGAGTGGGGCATTTTTGACTTAAGGGGATTTCCTCTCGTTGTAATAATAAATCCCTCTTTTATGAAATTCTGAAATTCCTCCCTCTATGCAGAATCTTCTTCCATGTTGCAAAGTTGCAACTTTTGAAATGGGAAATTATCTTTTTTTTTTTTTTGACAATTTAGGGAAAAAAAGCGCAAAGTGCTTATGTGTGACCAGCTGTCAGAACGTTCCGAAAGATATATGAAGTTCGGACTTCGTACAGATTCTATTTTTGGTAACTTGATCTAACCTACCAAATTTCAATCGGCCGACTATATCCTATAGTTGCCATATAACTGAACGATCAGAAATGGTATTTTGTAGAAATACCAACTTTGGTATTTTTGATGATAGAAGCATGGGACATTTTTGTAGCTTTCTTAAATTGGTTATATTCTGATATTCTCATAAGGATTGACAACTATATCAGATGTTTCGGGTTTTAACTGCAAGGGTAAATCAACTTCGGATCCGCCCAATGTTAGCTTTCCTTTCCTATTGTTTTTTTTTTAGTTTGGGCGGCCAAATGAGGCAAAAGGGGAGCACATGAGAGAGCTTCTAAAAAAATTTTAGCAGCAGCTGGGTCAGAATGTGTGCGTGTGTGCGATAGAAAATGAGTGTGCCCCCCACTGATCTAAATATAGCATAAAAAACCCTTTGCGCCCACTTGGGCATACAATTTTTACCCATTTTTGAATCGTGCCATGTTGGGGTTTTTGGAAAACTATATGCTTAAGGTAATGTGTCACCCATTTGAATGTGGGTCATTTTCTGGGATGAAGAGTTATAGATTAACTTGGTTTGGATATTAAAGAACTGTTTAAACCATAATTTTGTATTTTGAGGTCCGTTAAACCACCTTGCCCTGTATAATATTACGATTATTCACATTGCAGTACTTCCGCGACAAATTTGAACAATATTCATTTTCCTTTTTTATACCCTTGCAGAGGGTATTTTAATTTTGTCCGAAAGTGTGCAACGCGGTGAAGGAGACATCTCTGACCCTATAAGGTATATATATTCTTGATCAATATCACCTCCTGAGTTGATATGAGCATGTCCGTGTGTCCGTCTGTCTGTCTGTCTGTTTCTACGCAAACTAGTCTCTCAGTTTTAAAGCTATCGACTTGAAACTTTGCACGCACCCTTCTTTGCTTTGCACGCAGTATATAAGTCGGATCGACCGGGATCGGCCGACTATATCTTATAGCTGCCATATAGCTGAACGATCGAAAATGACCCAACTTTCGTGTTTTTAAAGATAGAAAACTGAAACTTAGTACAGATTATATTTTTGGTCAGTTAATCCGACCTATCCGAATAAGATATATTGCTGCTATATAACTGAACAATCGGAAATGGTATTTGGTAGAAATACCAACCTTGGTATTTTTGAAGATAGAAGGTTGGGACTTTTTGTACCCTTGCAGAAGGTATTATAATTTTTTCCAGAAGTGTGCAACGCAGTGTAGGAGACATCTCCGACCCTATAAAGTATAAGTTAACTGAAGTAAACTAAGCAGCGGCAATGTCCGATTATTTAAGAGCTCGCTCTGGCCAAACTGCTGACATAGCGTCTGGCTGGAAGCCAATGCATAGCGCCAAGCACTGCACATTTGCGTGGCCGCCATGAAATACTTTTTGTTAGCTTTAAGTTTCAGTTTGTGTCAGAGTCTCATACATTAATGAGGACCATTAAAACCAATCTCCGGCACTGCCGTTAACTTGTAAATTCATTTGTTGAATTGGTCACCGCGCCTCAAGGGCCGTGACAACGAAAATATTTTTACGTTACGTAAAATATTTACAATGTAAATTTTCGAAGTGGAAAGTGTGTCGAAAGTATGAGCTGTTGATTGCTTATTGTTTTATTTATTATTGCTTATTATTTTAAAGTACTTAATGGTGGAATAAAATTTTAAATTCAATCCAATGAAAAATTAAATTTAAAAGGGGAATTGATCCTAATCAAGAATATATATAGGATCGAAAATGTCTTCACTCCGTTGATCACTTTTGACCAAAATAATAATACCGTCTGCAAGGGTATAAAAATAATTATTAATAATAATTAATAACGATTATAATCGTTGACTAAAAAGTTTAATAGCTCAATCAGAACCTTGATCCCTAAGAAGCCCAATTTGCTGTTTCACGTTACTTACCTTAATACCGGAGCGGCCTTGTTGTTTTAAAAGAACATTTTCTGGCTTCATATCACAATGTATAATGTCATTTTTATAAAGTGCATCCAAGCATTGAAGAAGTGAATGCGCAAATTTTCTAACTAACTGCAAGCTGAAGCCCTTAAATCCATTTTTTTTTATTAATTCATACAGATTTATGCTAAGAAGCTCAAATGTAATGCAAGTATGGTTACGAAATGTGAAGTAGTCAAACATATGTATTATATTCATTGTATTATATTTATCATGTCGACGCAAATGATGAAGAATTCGTATTTCTTCTTGGGCTTGCCGATGAAAACGCTTTTCATTCCGAACTATTTTTAAGGCTACATGCTCATGGGTCTTATGATCATAGGCTTTGATGACCTGGCCGAAACTGCCTTTACCGATAATTTTAAGCATTTCATAACGATAAGCAACGTGATCATGTGGTACATGGATATAAGCACCGTTTTCATTATCGTAATCTGAGTTATTTGGTCCATAGACTCCTGGTCGCTTTTTTGCATTAGCACCAATAAAATATATTTGAGGAAATGCGAGTATTTCTGTACGCTCGTAGGGAGTCAGTTTATGCATGTACAAAATCATAACCTGTTGGGGGGAAACAACCAACACTTTTGGTTTTTCCGATAATGCGATTTTCTGTTGTCCAGACATAATAATCTGCTCGTGAAATGAAAAACAGTTCTTGTCGACTACTAGATTATCTTTCAAAGAAATAGGCAATTCGATTTGTTCTTTTTCAATTGGTTTACAGTTTTCCGAAGCAGTGCTAAAACATTTCTCCCCTAAATTTCGTCTGTGGGCAGTATCAGATTTTGTCGAATTCACTGTTACCATAGGCATGGAATGAGCTAGAAAGAAATAAATAATTTATTAAGACGTAAATATGTTCATATGTAGATAAGAAATAATGCTATATACCTTGAATCGACTCCGAGAGTTCACAATTATCGGTATTTGAACTACGATGCAAATTTTGAATATCTTCAGAAAAATTAATAAGTTTCGTATTTGACTGTGATTGGAAATCATTACGTTTATGAACCATGGTCGATGATCCATAGCTACTACTAAACTGTGGCACCGCAATATCTTCATATTGCTGAAGATTCGAAATCTGAGAATTAGTTTGATGAAGTCTTTGATTTTGTTGAAGCATTTGGACTTTGAAATATGGTATCGTTTTGGACTTTTGAGAAGTTTTAAAAATTGTTATATTTTTTGAGGGAATATCCTTTATTTTATTTTCTCCTGAATGTAAGCCAGTGTGAATTGGATTCATTCCAGACAATTTTGTAGTATTATTTGTATTGTTAGAGCCAACCATATTGGCCCAGACACTCAAAACATTAACATCAACATAAATATTTTGAGGTAAATTACAACATAAATTGTTTCTTCTGGTTGATTTACGATATTCACTAATTTAAATTTTCAATTTTATCCATATAAAAGTCTTTATAATTTTTAATTTATTGCATACAACTAAAACTAATTTTATATTTCGGGATGGCTGTAGAAAATTATATAGTGATTTTATATATTTTTTTTAGCATAACTTGGGCACCGTCTCATGTAACAGATTGTTTTTTTATTTATGTATTATGTGAAAAAAAAATTTTTTATGTTTTTATTAAAGTTTTAATTTTGTACGCTTTTAATTTTTTGTTTGCGTAGCTCCACATCTTTCAAATTGTATTTGATCCGGTTCTTTCAAAAAGTCAAATAATTAATACTAACATTTATTGTTTTTGCTCGACATATATGTACATACATTTATTTATATGTACATATATGTAGATATATCGTTATTTTATTAGTTTTATGTTTGACAGGTCATAAAATATTGCCTGTGTTCCGGTACTTTTATTTAATATGCACTGAATTTAAAGTTCATACAAAACATTTGAAAAAAAAAACTATATGTATGCATGAATGTACATATGTACATGTACACATATATAAGTAAAAACAAGTATAAGTATAAGCAGCTAGACAATAAATAAAGTTTCTAATTAAAAAAAAGTAAATCACTCCTATAGCACACTTTTGCTATAACACCTGCTGTATAATATACACATAAAACGTAATTTTGTTTTTGCGAACACGATTCCTAACACCAGCGAATTCACATTTTGAGATGACACTATACTAACATACAATATACTAAAATAATACCAATGGCAAAACATTTCTCATAATATGTCCGTCAACTTAGCGTCCTAAAAGTCATTGTCGAAGGGGGACGTTAGGACTGGAACATAGCAACGATTATTTTGTTTTTCCAAATTTTCACCTTGTTTATTATTCTATTTTTCCCACTTTGAGCGGGATCTACTCACATTAAGTAGGTCAAAAATGGGTATATAATTGCCCTCTTTTGGGTTGTACTCCTTTAGGTAGAGGAGGCTCAAACAAGCATGATACACAAAAATTACAGCCCATTCCGACGTAACTCCATTCCTTCAGCTCTTCACATTTATAAAACGCACAGATGTTTAAAATATAGCAGAGAATAGAATTGGCACTAAAATAGTGTATTTTGTTTTAAAGAAAGCTGGACGTGGTGGACATTCTTTTTAGAGAACAACATAGTTTATTAATTAGCCAAAATTTCGAAATAATTTACACGGATGGCTCTATTAGAGATAATTTCACTGGGTGATCCTTTTATCATGTCAATAGTAACACAACTAAAAGCTTTTATATGAATAATAAGTTCTCTTTACTTACTGCAGAGCTTAAAGCCTTAGAGAAAGCCATTGAATTTGCAATTGACCAACATATTACAAGGGTAGCTATCTTAACGGATAGTTTGGGTGCTATTCAAGCCCTTCAAAAGCGGAATTCTTCTAATCGCATTGTGGCTGAAATACTCAAAAAAATTGATATCAATATATTGGTTATTCAACTACATCATATTCCGAGCCATTTGAATATTAAAGGAAATTAAGTTGCTGACTCTGCTGCAAAAAACGCCAATACCTTGGGATCCTATATAAATATCAGATACACGATCAATGATGCTATCACTCACATCTTCAACAGAATTAAAACTGATTGGGAGCGCGACTATAATTCTTTTTGCATAGAAAGAAATAAAGGATACTGTCTTCTAAATCCATATATCTTACCCAAACCATGGTTCCAATCGGAAAACTGTGTTTGTAGGGGGGCATTGTTGCCGCAAAAGATTCCAGGAGTTGAAATGTTGAAGAAAAAAGTCGGGGGCGTCTTCCAGTGAATATAACGCGGTCCGCTTTTATTGGGCTGCTTACAAGAGAATACTGAACTTAACTTAAAGAAAACAGGCAACGGTTATAGAAAAAATACGATCGACGACGGCCGACGAAGGAGCGAGAGCGCAAAGAGGGACGAGCGCGGCTGCGCTCTTCAGCGCGGGTGCGCTCTTCAGTGCTGGTGCGCTCTTAAAGTTGCGGCACAACGGCCCCTCACGTAAACATCCTCCCTCCCTTGCAATCGCTTGGGTTGCAACCGATCCCTCGTCGCTAGCTATGCGTCACTGCAGCTAGAGGGCGTACACGGGTCGATGAAGGCCCCCGTGTCGAAGATCCGGGTCCCGGTATTGTCGCTGTTCCGCTTCAGCAGCGACGATAGGGTGGGCGCAGCGACCGCGTCCTGCGAGGGCCCTCGAGGAGAGGCGGAAAATTGCCTAGGCGCGGACGGAAGAGCGGATGGGTGGCGGACGAATGCAGTGGAGCACTTGACGGCTGCCGGCCAGTGGCGGAAGAATGCCGAGGAGTTATCGAAGAGTGCCGGGAAGTCGGCGGCCGTGGATCGGTTTGGGAATGCCGGAAAATGGCGGACGCAGGGCGCCCGAACCGCGCCGGGAGTTGGTGGATGACGGCCGACGAGAGAGCGGGACACCCCGTGTACTGTCTCCCGCGGGCGGTGACCGGTGCTCCTTGGTCACGGGGTGCAGCAGCGTGTGGTGATCCTGACCACACGTCTTACAGCCGTCCCCACGCCGACAATAGGACGGCTCCTGACCCGGAAGCGAAACACACCTGCACATTCGACTGATTCTCTGAGCCGTTTGTTGACTTAGGCGGACTTGGAGCGGTAAGCTGCGTAGGCGGACTTGGAGCGCTTGCGAATGGATTGCATCCAAAAATGGTCTCCTGACCGAGAAGCGACCCGCAGATGTTAGCCTTGGAATTACCGAGGAGCATGGACGGAAGAATGTCAGCTCCTAATAACACATCGATTTGGGAGCTCTCAAAGAAGTTGGGGTCCGCCAGGGGAATGTCGGGCAGCCCCTTGAGAAGATCTCGCGAAAACGGATATGATGGTAGATTTCCTGCCAACTGCGGAAGAACGTAAGCCGCAGTCTCTAATTGTAGCCCGGGTCGTTGATAAGAGCCGTGCCCAATAGGACGGCTCCTGACCCGGAAGCGAAACACACCTGCACATTCGACTGATCCTCTGAGCCGTTTGTTGACGTAGGCGGACTTGGAGCGCTTGCGAATGGATTGCCGCGGTGCAAGAGGGTGTGGTGTCTGCTGGGACATGTGAAGCAGGTATGGGCGCTCGGGCAGTCTCGTTGCTGGTGGCCTCGGGCAAAACAGTTTAAACATAACTGCTTCCTTTTAATGTAGTCCGAGCGCCCATTTACGTTTATTTCTAGGAACCGCGGACATAAGCGAATGGGGTGGTTCTCCCTCGAACAGAGATCGCAACCCTTGGGGCCTGGAATCACTCGAGTCTCGTATGAGTAGAGCCTCCGAGCAGGGGCAATAGGAATTCCCGACCTTGGCGGAAGTTACCCGGAGCCACTAGGCCTGACGTCGTCGATTGCCTCTAGAGTGCGATGGCGCTCTGTCAAGAAGTTGTCTAATTCCTTCCATGTTGGAATTTCGGCCTTATTATGGACGGATTGCTCCCACATAGAAAGTGTGACCTTGGGGAGCTTTGACGAAATCATAAACACCAGGAGGCAGTCCCAAGCCTCAACATTGATGGCGGACATTGCTAGGGCTGTCAGACAACTCTAAATGGTGGCTTGCAGCTCCTTCAGCGCGACCCCGGACTCTTGAGAAATAGCCTGGATATTGAAAATGATTTTCAACTGGCTATTGACCAATAGCCGCCGGTTCTCAAAACGGTCTGTGAGACTTTGCCAAGCGGCGTCAAACCCCTCATGGGTAAGCGGAGCCTTAGAAACAATGGCGTGGGCGTCACCACTTGTTTTGGACAGTAAGTGGAACAACTTTTCTACCGGGGTGAGCCGCGAGTTTTGGATGTAAATGGCCGTAAACAAGTCTCTGAAGGTGGGCCACCGAAGATAATCACCCGCAAAGACCTCGGTATCCACCGGAGGTAACCGGCAACCTGTAGGCGCCCGCGACAACGCGGGCGTGTGTACATTTACGGAAGTCTGAGTGGATTGGGAGGCAATTTTCTCCCGCAGCTGGGCAATACACCTCGAATAGACGGAGTAACAGTAGCTGTAACTTCGCTTCCAGCACTGTCGAGTCGGCCGCATTGTCGTCGGACACGGCTAGCAAATCGGAGCAGCTAGTGCCCGAATTTGGTCCCGATGGACTTCGCACATGTATTGGGAGCCTATTTCGGTTTCTGGGGCGCCCGGAGTATTTATGTTAGCCTCAAATTGGATAATTCGATCTGTTGTGGCGATGAACTTTTTCAACGCCACTTCGACCGCACTTGGAGTCATTTTTGCAACGGAGCGAGTCTTCTAATCGAGTCTGCCTCTGTGAAGGACCGGGGGTTGTATTGACGGATTCGTCACTTTTTGCCCTTGGACTGGCACTGGTAGCCTTAGGCTTCAAAAGAGGCGTCCGCGGAGATGCGAATTGAGATCTGTCCAAACGGATGGTTGGGATCAGAGGCGGCTTTTTGTTGTCTGCCGTGGGCATGCTCAGGGTCCAATTCGCTGGTCAGCGCTTGTCGACTGACTCGCGCAACAGGTGCCTCGTACGAAGTGGTGGCCGGTCGCACTATTGTGATGAGAACGGTGAGATCGCGGATGAATGGCAATTACAAGGAGCAAGTGCGAACTAGTGGCGCCGATGTGGAAAGGAACGTCGTGTGCGGCACATTTCGAATGTGGAAAGAAAAACTCAGGCACCAGAAAAACCCAAAAGGAGACGAGGTTTGCTCGGATTGTAGGCGGATGCTGCCTGATGCGGAGTAGAAGCAACGTTGGAGGTACGGAAAATGGAAAAAGTACCGGAAAATTCGTGCTTGTTCGGAAAAAAATGATGACTGTCTATATATAATATGTATGAATATTTCGACTTGTGTGGTTCGTACTGAATTTAATATACACTGAGATATTAAATTCTTAACTATTTTCGAATTTGCGGAGCCGGAAGGTGGACTTAACTTTGGCTTGAGTTTAACCCACAAAAAATAAATAATTAATTTTTGGCTAACTGGTTCGGATTTAATTATGATGGAGCCAGAAGGGTGGAGTTGAAAATCTTAATTTTTAATCAATTGAGGTGAATTATCACGAAGCTGGAACGGTGGAATTGAAACCTAAATCTTTAATTAATTGAATTTAACTAACACGAAGCCGGGAAGATGGAATTAAAACCGCGGCTCTATTCGGACAAAAGGTGGATAATTACTTTAATTTATTATAATTTTTCGATAATTAAATTTTTGACTTTAATTATTAAGTGTCCGGAAAGGTGAATTAAAAAAAAACCTGGCCCTTTGCTCGAACGGAAAATAAGATTTAAATAAATTTTCGTAGTTTTAATTATAAATATATAAATTTATAATTAATTGATTTTTTTTAATCTATTTTGTTACGCAGCCGGTCGGCACCCTGTACGTACCTCAAAGGAAAAAAAACAGAACCGAAAAACACAACACGGCTAGGTCGAGAATTTAAGCGACACAATCACGGATTTGTAGTGAAATGGCGGTTTATAATTGTTAGTTTTAGAAAATTTAATTTTTTTTTTAAATTTTATCGGCTATATATTGCTTGAAATTGGAGGCAGAAAATATTTGGAAATATATGGACATGCATGCAAGTAGGGCAAGGGCATGTGGGGCATATGATGGCACAGTGGAACGTCGATAAGTGGACTGTATATTTTAAATTCGCGGATTAATTTCATCAAAAAAAATATGTATGTGTGTATGTATTTATGTGAATGCACATAT